AAATCTTTTAGTTTTAAAAATGTGGCATTCAGGCTCAGCGCCTGTGGCTCAAGCGGCTAAGGTGCCAGCCACATACACCTGAGCTGGCGGGTTCGAATCCAGCCTGGGCCCACCAAACAACAATGACAGCTGCAACCAAAAAATAACCAGGCGTTGTGGCAGGCACCTGTAGTTCCAGCTACTTGGAAGGCAGAGGCAGGAGAATCGCTTAAGCCCAAGAGGTTGAGGTTGCTGTGAGCTGTGATGCCACAGCACTCTACGGGAGGGCAACATAGTGAGACTCTGTCTCAAAAAAAAAAGGTAGCATTCAAGACTGGGCACAGTGGCTCATGCCTATAATCCTATCTCTCTAGGAGGCCCAGGTGGGTAGATTGCTTGAGCTCATGAGTTCGAGACCAGCCTGAGCAAAAGCGAGACACCATCTCTACTAAAAAAAGAAAATCTGAGGCAAGAGGATCATTTGAGCCCAAGAATTGGAGGTTGCTGTGAGCTATGACACCATGGCATTCTACCCAGGGTGACAGCTTGAGACTGTCTCAAAAAAAAAATAGCCAGGTTTTGTGGCAGGCACCTGTAGTCCCTGCTACTCAGGAGGTAGAGGCAAGAGGATCACTGAAGCCCAGGAGTTTGAGGTTACTGTGAGCTGTGACACCACCGTACTCTAAGGAGGGCGCAACAAAGTAAGACTCTGTCTCAAAATAAATAAATAAAAGTAGCATTCAGATCTAATAGTGTGTGTCTCATTTGAATTTTCATATGGACTATTGTGTCAACATATGGTGTTTAAAAAAAAGTTATTGACTAAGATGTTAGTGAAAGCTTCCTCACATAAGAATATCAGACTGTGGAATTCAAAATGCCAGAGACGTAAATGCCCTCGCCTTCATTATCACCATCCCCCAGCATGGCACATTTCAAGATATCAAGGGGTGGGAGTCAGGGAGGAGGTGTAATTAGGCTGAACCGAGCCTGTTGTGCTACACTGGAGCACAGACACCAAGCAGCCTTAGGGAATGTTAGTGCCTCCAGAACATTGGGTAATGATGTCTCTCTTCCTCAAAATAACATACCAGAAATACCGAACCTAGACTGTTTTCTCTCTTCTTTGTTTTCACGTCCCCTCCCCAATTTAACCATAGTGCTTACTGCATCCCTTCAAAACTGACTTTTATCGTACATTTGTTTCTTAACAGTTGCGAGAAACAATCAAAGCTGGCAAAGGTGTGACTTCAGCTATTGACCTGTGTCGTTACCATGGAAACAAGGCACTGGAGGCCCTGGAGAGCTTTCCTCCCTCGGAGGCCAGATCTGCTTTAGAAAACATTGTGTTTGCTGTGACCAGATTTTCATGACACCAAATTAAAAAGACACTATTGTTAGTTAGCTGAAAAACCAAGGGAAAGGTGATGGAGAGAGCTTTCATGATGAAATATCTAAATGTGTTAATCACTTTGAAAACATATACATTTTTCCTTCTTTTTCTCACTTTGCTAAATGAATACTGCCTTCTTTTTGGAACTGCTACAAAGAAAATTAGAAGAAAAAAAGGTCAAGCGGTTTTCACTTGTCACGCCAGAAGCACACTTGAGGCTGCCAGTAGCAGAAATAATTAATGAGATTCGCTCTTGTGACCTCAGCAAATGGACAGGAAATAAGTCCTTATTGATTGGACCGAGCCAGGGATGGCGCCAGGGCGGTGGCCTGTGGTTTTCCTTCTAGCGAGGACAGAGCAAGCTAGAAGCTGCAGGTGTCAAGAGAAACACTATCCTATCCGTACCAACCGGTGAGGACTGTCAGATCAAAAGCGAGTGACCAATTTGTCATAACAGAAAGTAGCTTGAGGAATTAAGAAAACTATGCTTTATTTGTCATCTTGCAATTATGTCACGGTATTTATTGATACAATATGAATGTGCCTTGTGCTTCATGGTTTTTGTAAGTCTTTTTGGAAAAATTGCTAAAAGGTTGCCAAATATTTAAAGTAGAAGATTAAGATGTTGTTGAATGTTAAATTGGTTGTATTAAGGATTGTCTGCTTTTCTTTCTTAGAGAGCAAATATTTTTTCAAACACATTTCATTTTTTTAATGAAAAGAAACTTTTTTCCAAGGGAAATGAATTGATTTATAATACGGTGGTGTAGGGAATACCTTTGATTTTTACAAGTTTCAGAAATATAATTGTCATACTGGGGAATTCATTAATGCGAGTTTTCTTTTAACCTTAGAATGTCAAATTTTGGTCTTGAGCTGCAGACATCCAATTACAGAAAGAATGTAAGCAGTCTCACAGGCCTGCTGCTGGCCACTGTCCCTGTGTGGTTCATAGGAGATGATTTTTGTGGTCTGCACGTATGCAATATGAGCACACCGTGGACAAGAAGGCTGAGTTTACATAAATGATCTAGATTGAAACTCGGCTACCTTTGTTCCTCATGTGGTGTAATTACAGCCCTATCTGGAGATAGCGAACACAGCAAACAGATTTTATTACCTAGCTCACTCCAACACTGAGTGAAGTTATTTTAGTTAAATTCCTCCCCCCAAAAGTTACAAAACCATTTTATCAGAGCCCAACATGTGGCACGTGATGAAGAGAAATGTCTAACTGTGGAGGACAGGGTATTGTGAAATCTCTAAGTGTACTTAAAATATTGTAATCGTACAGTTTATGCCACTACAACTTAAAGTCTATAGATGGAGATTCAGAAAACACTTCACTCTTCTGTTTGAAATGTCTTTTTCTCACTGAAATTGGCTTAATTAGTAACTCTGCCTAAGATGCTTTAGAGCAGACTAGGTTTTAATCATTAACCTCCCCGGAGGAGGAGCCACACTTTGTGCTCCTGTGTGTTCTTCGGCTGCAGAACTGCAGGAAGCTGTAGGCTTCACTAAGCAGAGGGCTGGGGACGGCCAGCGCGGGTGGGATCCTAGGGCTCCTCCCATTCTGGGTTAGCATCTGGTTTGCTGTGGGACCTTGCTCAGGTCACTTCCCCCTAGCCTCAATTTCCTTATCTCAAGCGAGATTAAACAACATAATATATGCAATCTCTTCCAGGTTTGTTTTATTTTCTAAAAGTTTGCAATTCCTGGCCATCTAAATAGGAAAGCTGCCATGTGAGATTCAGAGAGGAGGGGAGACAAAGCCACAGAGAGGTGCTGAAGGGATGCAGAGAACTTAACGGCCAGCTTCGTGCTGAGCCCTGAGCGGCCTCCCAGGTGACCTAAAGCATGGAGGCTGTCCTTCATGTGACCTGTAGCCCTGGACTCTTCTGTTTTATTGTTTTGTTTGTTTTTGTTTTGTTTTTGTTTTGTTTTGAGACAGAGTCTCACTGTGTTGCCCTGGGTAGAGTGCCATGGTGTCACAGCAATCTCAAACTCTTGGGCTTAAGTGATTCTCTTGCCTCAGCCTCCCAAGTAGCTGGAACTACAGGCACCCACCACAATGCCCGGCTATTTTTGGTTGTAGTTGTCATTGTTGTATGGCAGAACTGGGCTGGGTTCGAACCCTCCAGGTCAGGTGTATGTGGCTGGCGCCCTAATCACTGAGCTACAGGAACCGAGCCTGGGCTCTTCTGTTTTAACACCCACATCTCTGCTGTCTGTGGGTCCTTTCCTCCCTTTCATCTTCTCAGATTCTTCATTCCATGCCCTGACTC